AAAGCTGTGAACCAAGGGAGGAGGATGCCAGACCCTTACAAGATGCTGGGCCTAGGAAATGAAGGGAATCTGGGGACACCAGTAAGCTCCCTAAAAGAACCCATGAGAACGGACACATCTCCAGGGCACAGTGACAGAGACTGCAAAAGGGCAGCGTGTTTTTCAGCTCCAAGAGGATGGTGGCAGGGATAGATGACACTTACCGTGGCCTGCAAAAACTGCTAAGGGCTGTGATGAGGAAAGGCATGTAATTCTACCCTTTGATCTGTATGTTTTCTGTGTCTGGATAATGATATTTTTATTGCGAAAAAATTGTTCATGGGATACACTGGACAGTTTATCACTCCTTTCCAGAATGATAAAGTGTGAAATATGCTAGAGGTGTTGCACTAAAATGTAGAATGAAGGGCACTTCTGGGATATTCAGTCAGAATGGCATGTTTCTGTGCAAATAGCAGTCAGAGCAGAGAGCACCATAGCCATAGGAACAAACCCATGAGAAATGCAAAAGGATCTGAGTACTGTTTGCGCTGTAACCTAAAAACGTTGTAAATAGTCTTGAATGACCACTAATAGAGCTAGAATTTTGGAATTTATTAGAGAAGACCATACTGTGTTTTGAGTGATTAGTGCAGCGGCTCAACATTGCTTCAAATATGGATCTTTAAAATACTTGCTTATATTGATTCTTACACTGTAAATGAGGCAGACTGTTTATGGTACAGCACTGTAGAAATTTTAAAAATATCTCCATGTAGGCATAATTCAGTTATTTGTGAATTTTATAGGTTAAATATACTGTGAACATATTAAACAGAAAATAAACCCTTTTGTTTTGTCAAATATATTAAAACTCTTCATTTTCTAATCTTGTGCTAGTGTCATGATGTACTAAACTGAAATCTGCAACTATTCATTTAATCGTTAATCTACTTTACACATGGACGAGGTAGATGATGATTGTGGCATTACGTTCCTTTTAGTAAGTGCTTGAAGTGAAAACAAAAAGCCTTAAAATAAATCTGATTAATATTTATAAGTAACTTGAAACCCCCCTATTAGATGCAGACTTGAACTCCATTAACATTGAGGCCTGGCATTTATATATATTGAGGTTGCTGAATTAGATTTCCAAGATCTGTCTTATGGAATATGTGGAGCTCTTACTTGCTAATTAGAATTATGCACGTGTGGAGATGACTGAACTCTCCAGTGCCCGGTAATCACAAATTACTGGCCTTACAATTGCCAAGATTAGTATATTGCTATAAATCTCATCGACCTACACATTCACCTCACAGATTATCTCACCCAAAAGGATTTGGAAGACAACATTCCTCCAAAAGGACTTGATTATTTTCAGTACTGTTTTCTGAACCGAAGTTCAACTAGCCCCAAAGTTCAATATTTGGAATTCCAACTCCAGGCTAAGTTTGGAAGTGGCTGATTTGTATAAGGAATTAATTGACACCCCAGTTAAAAAATTCCTCATCCATAAGGATTTTGTAATAAAGATTTTATGCCTTCTGTAAATATCTTAGGTAAAACGTAATGGGCAGGAAGAACAATTAATAGATTGGGCAAATTTGCCAGTTTTATAGGGTCAACTATGCTGAAGTGTTATTACAGTTAAATTAGTAACTGTTTTGGCTGTGTGTCCCTGTTTCTGTGTGTATACACATACATATATAAATATATACTGTAAATGGTAACTGATTTATATACAGACCAGAATTAACAGCCTAATCTGTCCATTCCCAGATAATACCATTTCATAAATACGACAATCCAGTGATTCACAGTGCCTTACAAACTGTAGTATTGTGGATAGCTTTTGGGTATTAATTAACAGTGATTTCTGTCATTGTCAGATGTAATGGAAGGGATATTGCAGTAGCTGGATCAATGAGACAGTGGGATGCTTTGTTCTTCATAGCTTGCCAAGGCACTGTGATCTATTTCATCTCAAAACAAGCTTGACTGGTTTCTGTAGTGATGTTTTTGGAAAGGTTAGTGGATTATCAATAGTTACTTTCAATGTACATGCCAAAGGAAAAGAAACGCAGAGGAAGCAGTAATAAAAAAGAGGTTTCAATTCCTTAGTGAATTTTGTTATGAATTGTAAAAGGGCACAGCAGTCAAATCAAATTGATGTTTGACAATCTTGGGAGATGTGAATTTTCTTGTGGGAAGTAATGAGGGCTGATTGTCAGGCCTTCAGCAACTAATGCACAAACCAGAAATATTGCTCTTTCTTTGGACTTGGATTCTTTTCTCTTCTATAGTCTCTATGGGTTTTAGTCATAGACTTTGGGGAGGACTTGAAAGAGAGACAAGGGCAACAGTCCACTGAGGTTTAGCAGAACAAAGAAATCCAAATGTACTGATATGGAAGTGCAATAATTGAACCCAAATTATCTATGTAGCAACAGTGTGCAATATCTATACTGTAACAATTAATAATTCATTGTCCCTGTGCCCTGGATTAAAAGACTTTTAAAGGTTCATTAGGATTTACTTACTTCTTTGGGAGATGCTCTTAGGTATTTTGAAGATTGACCACTGTAATTTGGGAGAAAATACACTGCCTGTTTCAGATGTAGAGGTTCAATTCATGCTTCAAGCACGGAACTTAACTCAGAATTAACTAGGAACTGAATTATCTCTTACAAATTTGTGAAATGCCTTTGCTAAAGCTCTTCAGCACTTGTCCTTTCTACTTCAATTTTTCCTTCACATTCTATGAGAAGCAATTTCTCCATCACAGTCTTGTGTTCCACTTCCAGCTCACACATCCAAATTGTCTGTTGGCTGCAGCTTTCCTGGTGCCCTGGCACTCTATCCTGCAAAATGCTCTTGCGCAGCAAGTTGTTGGTCTTCCAGTCTAGTTTGAAGGTATCTGAAATGACAATATAGCTTCTAGCCTTCTAGCCATTTTTTTCTGATCTTTACTCCAGTGTTGTATGGATTATAATACTGAAAATGTATTCTTTAATCACTGGGTAAGGATTAGGGATCTGTAGCATGGGAATTCTTCCCCCAAGCTGAAGCCATATCCTAAGTTGGAAAATACACCAAGTCAGTTAATACTGTACTTTCTGTCCCTATATATTGCCTGCTGTATTTTCTATGAACAGTGAGGTTTATGTCATTAAAAATAATAATAGTATTACTCAGCTGACTATATCCCCAAGAGAGTAAAAAGGTATGTATGCACATGCAATGCTTCAGTAAGAACAACACTAAACATTTGAAAATTAATATATCCTGCAATATAAAAAACAAGCTTGGCAAGAACAGTTTCTTACACACCTCTGTTCATGTTGGCAGTAGCAACCACTGCTAATTGATAGTGTCCTTCATCTGAGGCCAAATCTCATCAGTGAAATACAGATTCTACGTCTAACAAGATGCATCAGAAGGAAAGCGTGGATCTACTTAGCTTTAAATGACGTGTTTTGGTGGCATAGTCAGAACCAGAAACCAGGAATGCTCTGCTTCAGGCATGTGATGATACCACTTATTTTTCTGCCACTGCCCAAGAGGCAGGCAGTGGCAGCAGCAGCAGGCCAGAGGGGGCTGCAAGAAAGGCCGGGTGGTCCGGAGGGCCAGGGGGGAGCGGAGGGAGATGTCCAGGGCACCATGAGAGGGGGAGTACGTGATGTGGGAGGGGTTTGCAGTTACTGCATCGCCCAGGGAAAACAGAAAATAGAGGCAGAAAGCCAGGAGAACAACTGTATTTGAAAGATACTACTAGTTACAATAATTTTTTTTTTTTAAAAATAAACAGGAACAGGGGCATACTGCATTGCTGCAAGTATCCAGGCATTAAGTGACAGTTATCTTCTATAGAAGTGGGTGGTGTATGGAACACAGTAGACTTTGTCAATACTGTGTCATATGCAACTATTTTTCCTCACTTGCTGCATGTGCTGTATGGGTATCATGGGTCTCACAGGAAAGAACAAACTTATTATGACATGTTTTAAAGGGATTGTGAGAACACATGAAATTTATTTTGCAGTGTTTAAGGGAAGGGCCAAAGCGGGGGGTTAGAGCAGATCAGGGAGGAACAAGTGTAGGAAAATGGAGAGGAGGGGGCATAAAAGGGTCTGGTTGTGTGTCAAGATGCTTGTCTGACTGAGCCCTGTGTCTGATCACTGCAGCCTGTCCCATCTCTCTATTAAACTCAGTTCCTAGCTGTTTTTGATGTTTCTGTTCAGTATTTATGAATATGGGGGCAGATGTGATTTTTCGGGGGACTTCTGGAAAGACCTGGGTTCCAAACCTGTGCCTGTGTAAGGGTCTGGGCACAGATGTTGTACAGACGTAGCCCATGCCAGTGTTTGAGGGATCTGTAAACACTGGTGTGTTTGTGAATCATACAAGTGATGGGGTGTGTGTGTGTCACTAGCAGACTTCAGTCTTCATCAGCTGGGCAGGAGGAGGAGGATCAAGCCATCTTTATTTATGTTTGTGAGTGCCATGTGGGTGCTGCTAATGCACTGCTGTCTGTGAGGGTCTGTGTGTGCGTTGGCACCTCTGGACTACACACACAGGCTTACAACCGGCTGGACCTGCGGGCGGGAGCAGCACTGGTGGCACCGATTGGACTGGGACAGGAGGAGCCTCCAGGGTCTGAGTGTGCACCAAATGCATCTCTCATGGATGGGGCGGAGGAATCCCCTGGGACAAGAATGCTCCAGTTCCACTCTCTGGAACAGGTGATACTAGTTATAGCAAGCAGAAGAAAGTTTTACCCAAATCACAGATTCTGCTTTCTAGAGCAGCCAGCATCCTACGTAATTTATGAAATCTGAGAACATCTGAAACTAGGGTGCTGTGAGTTGAAATCTCTTATATTTGCACATCCTTAGTAGATAAGACTAAAGTGCTCCACAAATGAAGCATTACATGGTGCTGTATTTTTAAACTGACTTTTGAATACTGTAAGCAGTAATTTTTGCATTCTAACTGGTTTGACTCCTTGCTCTCCTTAGGGGAAATGGAAGAGCTAGAAACCCTATGGCTGACAGGTATTTGCCACAATGAGAAGAATGAAGTCATGAGCAGCCAGCTGGACATTGACAACATGGCAGGAGTGTTTTACATGCTTGCAGCAGCCATGGCACTCAGTTTAATAACCTTTGTCTGGGAGCACTTATTTTACTGGAAACTTAGATTCTGCTTCACAGGAGTCTGCTCGGATAGGCCTGGATTGTTGTTCTCAATCAGCAGGGTTAGTATCACTTTCATTTTCCCTCTTCAGACAAGGGACAGAATAACCGCTATTTCCCTAAAACATTATCTTTTCTTTTTTTCACACTTGGACATTTGAAGTCCATGTTAGAGCACCAGTATGTTGCTCTAGAGTAGTCAATGGGTTTAGGATGTACTTGGACTCCATGGGAAGTCTTTGATGGATTATTCTAGGGTATGAATTATCATATGCCAGGATAATCAGTAATCAAATGCTGAAAACAAATACATTGAGGGGAATTTTGATGAAGAAATGGTAGAGCTGCTCAGATGCAGGAAACGGACTAATTTCCACAAAAAAATCCAAACAAAATAAATACTAAATTGATGACTGACATTAGCTCTCAGTTTTGTGTATTTCTAAAGTGGATTTTAAGTGATGAAAATATACTGGAATATTTTTTTAAGCTTTTCTTGATAGCAAACTTGAATAAACCATATGAGAAAAGATAAAACACAAGTATCATTAGTGATTGGTTAGTCACTAAGACAGGTTTTAATGGTGACTTTACCAAACCCAAAGTGGATTTACATATCCAAAAGACAGGTACTTGTTGTATAATAAGGTACGTATAGTTCTTTTTTTTTGTCTTTTTTAAAACACATAGTACTTTCATTAGGTAATTGTGCTAGATTTTTTATCTATCTGAGGAGAATTGAAAATGATACTGAAATGCCTAAATGCTTTAAAATGTTCTGAAATTATCCTGTTGAGTAAATTGGACTGTATTGGAACTGCGTTAAATATACTCTGCCGTACCCTGTCGGGGATTGTCTAGAAATGCATATACACTTTCACCTCCACATTTTACATTTGAACTTTTACATGTGAAATTCTCCTACCCAATGCAGGGGGAAAAAAGTACTTATTTCAAAGGCAAATTTCTGAGAATTACAAGTTGACAGAGTTGGAATTGCCATTTGAGCTCACAGGAGTGACCAAAGAGGATGGAGTTAAAAGATGGGCTTCAGCCTTTTGTTCAAAATGAACTAAAATTCAGGCTTTAGAAAGAGCTGGAGTTTTTTCATATGTACTAGGATAATAAACAGAAAAGCTAAAATGCAATGACTAGAAGCCTTTTTATTTCAGTGAGTGAAGAGTACCTTTCAAGAGTAACTTCCAAGAAAATAGCCCCACTGCAGGCTTGTTTAAAGGGTTAACTTAATCACTGGTTTAAAATAATAGAGTTTTTGTTACTGAAGGTTAGTTACATTTTGTGATGAGTCTAGGGAACCTTCCGGGGTCCCTTCTAATCTTGTTTTCTGGAATAAGCAGGGGAGGCCAACACAGACCACTGGTTTGTAAAATACTGGCATTTTTTCTCCTTTGCAGTTCCAACAGATATGGCAGAAATGATTCTTCCGTATCGATGTAAGGAAATCATAAAAGGATAGATATGTACTTATAATCTTTCCAGTGTTTAATTTTTCTTTACTGCTAATTAAAAATATAATGGAAGTATTTAAAATTTATACCTAGTGATTTAATTTGTTTTATATTACTCATATTACAGGGTATTTACAGCTGCATTCATGGAGTACACATTGAAGAAAAAAAGAAATCTCCTGACTTTAGTTTGACCAATTCCCAAACCAACATGTTGAAACTACTGCGAACAGCGAAAAATATGACCAATATCAATCCTTCAAGAATTAACTCCCCCAAAAGAACAGCTGATTTCATTCAGAGGGGTTCCTTGATTATGGACATGGTCATGGATAAGGGAAACTTGATCTTTTCTGATAACAGATCCTTTCAGACAAAGGACAACATTTTTGGTGACAACATGAGTGAACTACAGACACTTCCTGGCAATCGACACAAGGACAATCTTAACAACTATGTTTTCCAAGGCCAGCATCCTCTCACACTGAATGAGTCCAATCCAAACACAGTAGAGGTTGCAGTAACAGCAGAAACAAAAGTGAACTCCAGACCCAGGCAGCTTTGGAGAAAATCTGTTGAATCTTTACGTCAAGAATCTGTACGTCAGAGCCAAGGTTCCCAAAGAGAAAACGGGTCAGATGAAAACAGGCAACTTTCACTGAAAAGCCAAAGATACCTTCCTGAAGAGATTGTCCATTCAGATGTATCAGAGACATCAAGCCGAGCTACTTGCCATATGGAACCTGAAAACAACAACAAGCACCACAAAACCAAGGACAATTTTAAAAAAAGGACAGTAGCATCAAAATACCCAAAAGACTGTAGTGAAGTGGAACTGACATATCTGAAAACCAAACAGAGCTCTCCACGGGATAAAATCTACACGATTGAAGCTGACAAGGAGCCAGGATTCCGCTTGGACACACCTCAGTACGTCGAAAACATTGTCCTTCCAGAAACTATAGAGCTTCCTGATGTTTATCAAGATCACAACGACAACTACAGGAAAGCAGAACATGCTAACAGGACTCCTTTGCATAATGAAGACAGTCTTCCAAATAATGACCAGTATAAACTTTATGCAAAGCACTACACTTTAAAAGATAAAAATGCTTCCCTAGTTGACATGAACGATAGATACAGACAGAATTCCACCCACTGCAGGAGCTGTCTTTCCAATCTGCCCACTTATGCGGGACACTATTCGAGCAGATCTCCCTATAAATGCGACGCATGCTTGCGGATGGGGAACCTCTATGATATTGAAGAAGATCAGATGCTGCAGGATACAACGAACTTATCACTTCCTGAAGAAATATATCAGCATAGTTGGTCACAAAATAATGCTCTGCAATATCATAAAAAAAATAAGCTGAGGATTAGCAGGCAACATTCTTTTGATAATATCGCTGATAAATCCAGGGAAATTGATATTGGAAGACCTTCTCGTAGTATAAGCTTGAAAGAAAGAGAGAAATTTCTACAAAGTAGTCCGTATGCAAGCATGTTTAGTGTTCCCTCAAGCAAACTGTTGAGCAACAAGGCCTCACTTTTAGCTCACACTCTAGAGGACAGTAAGAGGAGCAAGTCCCTGTATCCTGTTCACTCAGATGATAATCCCTTTCTGCACTCGTATCCTGATGACCAGCACTTATCTCTTCGGCGAAGTCCAGCTGATTTTTATAAACATTCATTACCAACAAGAGGAAGAAATGATAATTATTTAAGGTCATCCATAAAGTCTACAGCATCATACTGTTCCAGGGATGGTCGGATCCATAATGACATGTACATTTCAGAGCATGTTTTGCCTTATGTTGCAAATAGGAATAGCTTGTACTCAACTCCAAGGGTTTTAAATTCCTGTAGCAATAGACGTGTGTATAAGAAAATGCTTAGCATTGAATCAGATGTTTAAATTTTCCATGAACGCTTTATCTATAGGGAAAAAATAGTTGCCACCATCTTAGAGGGAGAATTTATCCTATAACTCTATCCTGCTATGGTAAATGATACATAAACCTCTCCCTTTCCCAATGTACTTTTGTACATGAATAGGTAAACTAGTATGCTCTTAAATATCCTTTTAAAATATGTCTTGTTGAAAAGGATAAAACCCAGCCATTTATGTATGCTTTATATATAAATGGCAAGCTGTACTGAAATAGCCCCGATATATGTTGGCAACTATGCTGTTTTGTATCTAATTATTTTCCTATTTAGGTTATTCTAATTTATGTTGCTATCATTCAATGTACTTCTGTCCTTAGAAATGTTCAATGATTTTCTAGTACTGGTTGAGCAATATGGTATGCATGTAGTATGACACAGACAAAAGAATTAGGAATGCATTTGCAGAGTTTCAAAAGTAAGACTCTAAATGAGAACAGAAAGCTAGACTTCCAAAATATAATTTAGCTTCATAATAATTTTCAAAGCCAAATAATAATTAGAAAAACCCCAAACCCCAGGACCTTAATAAATAAGATACAGTGTGTTAGCACAAAATTATCATGTTCATTCTAGACTAACAGAAAATAAATGGGAAGGCTGTAGACATGTGAAACATCTGAACTGCTGTGTACCAGAAGGAAGCCCCATGGATATTGGTTAATGTTAATGTACAAATGCTTTTCTTATATTTCACATGCACTTACCATTACAAGCTAAGTTCATTGAAAAGTCTGCAGTCATCTTGTTAGAAATTTCACAGCTGCCTAATCCAGAGTATATATTTTTAGATATTACTATATGGCACTTAATATGGAGCTGTGGACTTTTATTAGTAACCTTGAGGCCTACTATGTACGTAAGTTTGCATTTGCCCCTTACTGGTGATTACTCAGGGCTGTATAGTATTTCTTTTATTCCTTCACTTCCCAATCCAAATCCCAACCCACTGTAGTTCTTTGTTCATAGTGTATTAGTGACATCTAATTAATTGTATGTTAATAGTATTAAAGCTGTTAATACAGTATCAAACACCGACAGCCATAAGTTCAGTGTAATCAGTGAGGAGTGCAATACCATTTATTTGCATATGCAGCAAAGGATTAACACCTTTTGAGGGACTTCTTCCTTCCAGAATATTGTGCATATATGTCAAACATATGACCATTTTTTTTAACCTCTTCAATCAAGTCTGTTATATAAATTGAATATATGCACACATAACTAAGGAACAGTGTCTTTATTATCACTTACTGGTATATAAAGATACATAACAGGGATGCATTGTTATATGACTTTTACTTCTAGTAAAGGTCAATCAGATTATTTCACAAATAAAATGTCTGCTACACACCCTTCCTCTCCCCCACTGGAAAAAAAAAAAAAACAAACCCCACAAACAAAAAACACTAGATTTTTCATCATAAGGGAGTGTGGAAGGAAAGAGAGGAAGCCTTTCATGAATACAGTGTACAGCTGTAAATTTAATTTAAACTGAAGAAGTAAATATAATGGCTAATATATTTAAATACTGAAAGGATTCAACAGGTGGTGCTCTCCCATTCTCCTTCCACTCTGAGTATTGCTTTAGGTTTTTTGTGTAGAGGAAGTTTAGATTATTCAAGCATTATTCCCTACATTTCACTGAAGAACAGTGAACAGGGAAACCATCACCACTGTGAATTGGAAAATGTGACTATTACCCCAAGTTTTCCCTAAACTCTTTTCAACAGAATCATGCCTGTAAGCTGTAACTGTAGTATCTGCATGCCAGAGGTACAGTATGCAAGTTGTTTAATTTGGAACAGCATACCGCAGAGCAGAGTTGCAAATGGGAGATAATAGAAATCAGGTATAGGGATAGACAAAATATAACTTCTTAAGTTTTGTTTATATTTTTTTTTATTAAACAGATTTAGGCTGACTTTAACTACCAAACAGTCCATAATGAGTTCCTGGTATTTACAAATGTATTTATACCTTCACCGTGATGGTGAAGGATGATATTTTTTGAAGTAATTAAATGCCATGAGACTTGGGATTCAGAGTCCCTTTCTAGATTCCAAAAATCTCAGTATACTTTATTATAAATATGTTCAGAAAGCATAGCTATGGGTATCTGCAAGCTGTCCAGAACAAATACGTTTTGAGTATTCTTTATTCAGCATTTGGTCACAATTATTGGCCCTGATTCACATGGTATGCTTTCTGGTTCCTCACTGGATATAGTTTTTATCAACAGAAGATCCTTACCTGCCCTTAGAGAGATTCACATTTCTTAGGAATAGTTGTATGAGCTAAGCAGGGCTAGGGTTTTTATGGGATGAACACTACTTTTCATGAAATAAAGCCTTTTCCCAAAGACACAGTTATACTATTTGTCTTAGGTCTACAGGAAGGCAAATGCACTAAAGGCATGAATATTGTTATAATGAGTTTAATAAAAATATTTCAGGTAAATTTTAATTTCCAATCCAAATCATAGTGTATTAAGTAAAATTTTAAGTATTTTGAAGTATCTGGTGTGTTTCAGCAGATACGGTATTTGCTGATATCTTATTGCCATGATATCATACTGCCAGTTTTGATATCAAAACTGCCATCCAAGTCACTGAGAATTTTACCAAGTGAATAGTAAAGCTCAGTGGTGGCTCTTGTGTTTCGTATCATCTTATAGCTCTCAAAATATTTGCTGATCACTCCAAGTCTTTTGTATCATCATCTCTATCTAACTAGACACATATAATTCAATATATGTATAAGTACTGTATGTAAAGTTGTGGGAAGGAAAAATTCCCATTTGCAACATTTGCAAAGTAAACTGTTGAGATCCAAATGTAAACATCCTAAACCCAGGTGGATTTATCCTTCTGTGAAATGTACAAGCAAATTAGGTATAAAGAAATATATTACAATGTTTGCTTTTTCTGAATTGAGCAGATTTCTGGTGCCTGTAGAGATTTATTATTATTAGCTGCAGATATGCAATACAACCACCTCCCCTAAACCAAAACAAATTAAAGAGACAGAGGGAAGATTTGATAATGTTGCACAGCAGTTGTTCACATGGAAATAAAAGATGCTGCCTTAAAGAAGAAAAAAAAAAAAAACAGATACTGAAAGTAGAGGGAATAAGAATCTGCATGCATTTGTTGTTTTGATCTTGGTATGTAATATGATTGAATAAAGGGGGAAGAAAAGGCCAAAGTGTAGGGCTGTAGGAAAGTAGCTGGTGTGGTTGCAGATGTATACGTGTAAAGAAGAAGGAGCTGAGAAGTTGAAGAACAATCTTCAACAGTAGAGCCACAAGCCACAGCTTGTGAGTCTCAGCCATAGAGTGCGTGGAATTCTGAATATTGCCTGAGCTTTGTTGATATATTTGCACTGATTTTCAATTAAACTGAGATCAAGACTTTCTGTATTTCCCTCTCTCTCACTCTAGCTGCTGCTATTCTTGAAGAGGAGAAAAGAATCTTCCTGCATAAATGGCCATCCTTTCTGTACCTTTCTGGATGGTGCTGGTGACTTGTTACATTTTCCTGATTACAGCTCTAGCAGTTTGTTGGTCATTCCTATCACCAAGATTTCCTGTGACTCCAGCTGGAACTGAATCAGGCTGTAAATGATATGGGCCATTCTTGGTAGCATGTCCTGTAGTGTTACACTGCTCCTGGACGACAACTTTTATGGAGGCAGGATATTGAATTGCTGAGGAGTGGAGTAGGTACATGGAGGTAAAAACAGCTACATAGACATACCTGCCTCTTGCTTTTTTCCTCTTTTAAAGACATTGTAGAATTTCTTCATGTTTTTGTCTTTCCCTTTTCACCACAGTAAATTTTCTTTTTTCCTTTCAAATGGATTTTGTGTTCTGCTTGTGTTTTTTAGAGCAGTGTAGTCACCCAGTAACTTAAACGCATGAAAATAAGATATTTTAATAGATAAGATAAAATTAAGGAAAATTAAGAGTTTTTGTATTTCTGGAAAATTTCATTTAATGTTTTTGCAACTTTTGCTCAGAATTCATTATTCTGCAATCTAAGAAGCTTGGTTAGGAGAAAAAGTGCTGTGGACAAACAGAGATGAAATCATCACCAGCTCACTGTGTTTTGGCAGTATCTCATAAATACATACTTCTCTGTGATCTTTCAGAAACACTTAGGAGGTGAAATAAGGCTTACAAGGGAAATCGGGAGTGTGGTTTTTTTCCTGGTGAAATCTTTCTACAGTTTTAAAGGAAGCAAAAGCTAGAGCTAGAGCTGTGCGTGTAGCTTTGGGTTTCTGTGCTGGAAGGCTAAGTTCTTTCTGTTGCCAGTGGGCAGAGAGAGAGAAAGCTCCCTCGGGATGGTAGTTCAGCGCACTGGAGGTTTGGGAGTGATGTGTGTGATGTGTCCTGAAAGATTTTCCCTCTCTGTTGACTTTTTAAAAAGTATAGGCCCATAATTTAGACATCCCAGTTGGGCTTAGGAAAATAATGGTCTATTTATCCCCAGTCTCAAAAATCTGCTAGTTAAATCTGCAAGTGAGTACCACATTAAACCTTGCAGGTGCAGTTAGGTTCCTGTGCTTACTGCAAGTAGTTCCTAAGGAAACACCTGGGTTTGTGGGTTCTGCAGTACTCCCAGCCTCGTTGGTATCCATTTTCTTTGTATCATGTGACTATCCAGCATGAAATAAAAGTGTCAAAATCTATTCCTTGTAGAATATCTTGCTATTTTCCAATTCCTGCAGTGTAGCCTATGTATCTTAGTGATGGGGAAGATTTTGTTACTATTCCTTCCCTTGCTGGGTTCATCAATGTAGAACAGGAATTGTGGTATGAGTCTAAGTGTCTAAGAGTTAGCTTGGATTTAGGAAGAATTCAAGAGGTGAATCTTTTTGTTTTACATTGCATTTAAGAGGTTTGATATATAAAACCTAGTAAAAACAGATCTTTTATTGCAAAATCCTCTCTTTATGTAGAACAGTAACTATCCTGTGGTTTGGCTAGATTGTGTTAAGTGTCAATCATCGCATCATGTGCTTCTTTCAAGGTGCAGTATCGTATATCCCTTGCTAAACTTTCCTAGTTGTAGTCCTATCTTAGATCAAAAGTCCTTTAAAAGTAGATATTTTCCTGTATAGGGCAATTTGATTTGCAACATAAAACCAGTTTTCCAGTGCTATACTTAAATTGTTTGTTTTTCCAATGTTATTTTTTTAATCTAAACTTCTTTCCTATTGGGAGCTGAGACTTCAAAGTGTAACAGCGCTGAAGGATCTTCTGAAAGACCATAAAGCCCTTTTAAATTATGATCTATGGTATGAGCCATTTCCCTGCCCAAACTCACCTGTATTGTCTTATTTAAATGTATTAGCAACATGTTAGTATTTACTATCACCAAGAGGGAGCATAGTTTAATCACAGCTGTGTATTTATTTGTGGACTTAAATGCAAGTACAGAGAGGTGTATGGTATGATAGAGGAAAGGCTCAACCTGCTCTGGCTGGAGTCACCTGTGAAGCTGTGGTTAAATGAGAGTAGCCTCAAGACCGTCACGTCTCTTACATCACTCCAATCATGCAGACTTCTCTGTCTGATGTGCACATACTGTACATAGTGTAAAATTCTTGTTGATGCTCAGCTTTCATTGTGGAATTAATCCCGTGTTCACCTTCATTACAGTGTCGCAGTGATGTGTGTGGGTTGGAGAGGTGGTTGATTGTGTTCTATGGTGTCTGTTGCCCTGTTAAATGGGAGCAGAAATCCTGCCTTGCTTCTCTCTGCTCTGCTGGGGAGGGTTACCGCACTCCTTGTAAATAGGCTTCTCATTGATTTCACCTGTCAAGCTTTTATTTTTTTTTTCTCCTGCTTCTCTCAACCTATGTACAGAGTATGCTCTTTAAAAATACATGCTCTTCCAATGTCCTGCAACTTTGGAAGTCAGAATTACAAGTGTGCATCACCCTGCAATGCAGTGAAAATGCACTGCGTTCTTCTCGCAGGTTCATACTGCAGAATATAACTGCTGTGGTTGAAACTGTTTGAGGTTTTTTTTTTTGGTTTTTTTTTTTTTTTTTTTTAAATGAATGCCAGTCTAACAACTGTAAGAATCCACTGCTGATTTTGTGATGATTTTGTCATATCTGTAATTTAAGAACCAGAAATAATATAAGTAAAATTAAGTTACCTCACTATTTACCAGGTTTTTGTTGTTTTGCACTTAAATGACACTTTTTACTCCTTTTGCTTAATTCTTTACCTGTATTGAAAACAGTGCTAAATTAGTAGAGAATATAACCATGCTGTAACATTGTCATGCGATACCTTTATTAGTAGATAACCACACAAAATATAGTATTACATATTTAAGAGAGATGGTTTTGACTCTCCAACTCTTCAAAAGTAGTGGTGATAAGCAGTTATACTTCTAGATGTTTTGTCCCTTCCCTTTTGTATTAGTATTTGTTTTCGCTAGTATATTTCAAAAATTATATTTCTATGTGCACGTTAGAAAACTGTGAAAATAAATACCAATAAATATTGTGATACTTATTCAGTGCACTGTAAAGTTCCAAGTGAGATGATACTTTGCTTGGGAATTGATGGAGGTTTCCTCACTTCTCATAAATGGTACTAAGCTTTAATGTGGTCAAATGGTAATATTTACAGTGACATAAAATTTTAATGGAGAATGTCTTGATTTGCACTTCTAGTAAAATTAGAAGAAATGATATGTTTTTCTCAGCAAATGCATTATGAGAATACATTTTTAAAATTTGTTTTGTGCATTGTAGTACATAAGAATAGCTGTTTTGAAGGGATTTGTGTTACATTATTACTACAGGATTTTTCAGTCTGATCATTTTTTATTGACCCCGTTTAATAATGGTGTTTAATGGCAAAAACCTTTTGGCAGTATATTTTGGCTTCTGTTCCACATCACAAGCCCTGTATTTGAACTCACAGGGATGCAGTTGAAGGCCCTCACGAGGTTGCCGTGCCTTCCCATGATGCTGGGGAAGGAGACCTTTCTTGTTCACTGTTGGGACAAGATTAGAGGAGTTGAGAAAAATTTTGGAGGATGTGTTGTGCAACATTTAAAGTGTAGATGATCTTCAAAAGTGAAAAAAAATTAAATTGGAGGTTCACAGTTATCCACACTGGTGGGTGGTCTGTGACAGGCTGCAGAGTGTGTGGTTTCTGGAGGAAATGATAATTTTTAACTAAAGGGATTTGAATTCTACTTAAGTTTCTGAAAGTCACTGAAAAAAACCAGGAGTTTTCTTTTTTTTTTTTTTTAAACCAAAGTCTTAACATTGTCGTACGAGGTTTCACAGGAAAATGGGCCAAAGAATACGATTAAATATGCAAAATGTTAATCCTATGGAAAAGGGTATCCTGTCATCTTGATATGCACAAGCATATTAATGGTAATAGGAAAAAATGTGTGTAATTTTCCTGTATATTCCTATGTAGGTTGCACTATTTTGAATGATACAAGCCTGATATTTTAATTACCAAATACCATAAGAAGCTGTTTATTAATATTTTAAACTTGTTAACCTAAATATATATACAGTATACACACACGTGCGTCCATACACTTGCCAACCTAGTCATGTGTGAGTAATCTCCCAGAGCCGTGGGACACATTTCAGCAGTGCTTTATTTTAAGTGATTCTCTTCTCTCTTTTCCAAACCTCCTAGGTCCACAAAGCCTCTAGCAGCATTTATTGTAGTGTTTGATACCTATTACAGAAAAGGCTAAAGGACTTGCTGGGATCAGGATTGCGTTGTGCTAGGACACATGAAAACCCTTCAGAGGAGAGTTCCTGTCAGAAAGAGCTGGAAATGATACTCACTATAACTAACAAAGCCACAAGAAAAGGATGTCTTCTCATACTGTTTTGAAAATTCATGGCCAGAAGAGGGTCTGTTGGCCTGGTGACTAAAATACTGTGTCAGCCTACATGATCATCTGGTCATTAAACGTATTACTTAAGGTAGCTGAGGAAGGACACCTAAAAACCAAAAGTTCCTAGGAAAGATCAGCTGGTGTGTGCACCAGTGGCCAGCCGTGTATTCTTCCATGCAGACTAGGCAGTTTTCAAAATCGGTTTTGCACACAGACACAGTATTTAGCAGCGGTGTTCAAGTCAGAATCACTCTTCTCAGCACACAGGCTTTTGAGCTTGCTGTTACTGATAATGTTGAGATTCTGACCAAGATAAGATTGTGGTATTCAGCTTCTTTTCTAAATTTACAGTGCTCTAACCAAAACTTGTGACAATACCTTGAAATAATTTGTTTGAAGTAATTCCTGAGCTTTTTTTCAGAGGGAGAGTTGGATGTTATTAATTTTTTCACCTTAACCCAGACACAGAAAATTCTGTAGGGTCAAATTTTGTCTTCAGTTCGTTGCAAGTGTGTCTTGGAGAAGAAGTTGGTTCCAAGTCCTTTATCTGCAAGAAGAAAACTTTTGGTTAGCTCATTTTTACCTGGCCTATATCTGGCTTCCAAACTTAGGTAAAGCACCTTTTGACTTAAATAGGGATATGTGAGTGAGTGATGGGAGAGCAGATCCTTAGTGCAGTTCATGCTCAGAATTAAAAAAAAAACCAACAAAACCAAACCTCATGTTGCAAAGGTATGAAACTTACTTCATGTAAAATTATGTGCAGCTAGGAAGGAAACTAGTGCAATTTTATTAAGAACTGTTTACAGTTTATACTTCATATCAGCTATAATATTTTGATATAGTCTTACTCATTTCAGAACGTCCATTTTGCACTGATGAAGAACAGCTTGATCTCTCTGTCTTCACACCTCACGCCCACATGCACATGCACAGTATATCTTGTGTCTTCCCTGTTGAAACCAGAAGGTTCAAACAGAATTCATTAATGTGTTAGGCAAACTCCTACCTGATTCTTAACTAAGTATGCTATTTTTATGCAAAATTTGCTTCCATACATTTCAGGTTCTCTCAGAAGCACTTCACCTGTGAGCTAATAAAGTTAATTTTAATTCATCAAATTCAAATTTACACAAAGCCTGAAAGGCATTTTGTGCTTCCTTTTATCCTGTTTAACGATTTTTGCTGGCCTAGATGAAACATTATTTCTGTGCTGCTAAACAAAAACCACCGGAAATATTTTAAAATCTCAAATTACACCTTAAAAAACATTTTTACCTGTTTACTTGAATTATGTAAATTCAATGTGTTGTTCTGATTAGTCTTTGTATACATACATGTATATATATATATATAAGCTATATATAAGCTTTATATATATGTGTATGTATAAAGTTTTGGGGGGAGAATGAGTGGCAAGACAAAAATTCAGTGTTATGACAAAGATTTTATAACCATTTATTAACAGTTTCAAGTAATGTATTGCTATTTTGAGTTTGATTAGAAGTTATTTGCAGTTGAACTCTGAAAAATGAGATGTAACTGAAAATTGGTATTGGATCTTCAGTTGTCATCCTATGACCAGTTTAGTTTCATTTGTATCTTGAGAAAATAAGAATTCACAATATTAACTTAAGATTTTGCTTAGAAAGGAAATTAGTTATTAGTACAGTTGGAAAAGTATTCTTGTTCTAATGGGAGGAAAAAAATCTCCGAGTGTACTAATATGTACTGGTTACATGGAGCACTAATCTACATTGCAGTAGAAGAAATTTGCATTCCATAAATAACATCTTACCAGAAATCTTGGAACCATTTGATTCCATACACAGTAAATTCAAAAGCCTATCACTTCCATTATTTACTAGTGCAATTTATTGTAACGCTCTCAAGAGTGTAATATGTCAAACCGAAAGGTAAGTCATAAATTTCCAATTTGCTAGCAAAGAGTAGTAGAGGTTTGAAGACCTCTCAGCACCTGGGGAAATAAATCAGAATGTTAGAGTAGAAGTAAAAGAATATTGGTGAATTGGAATCAAGCATGAAATAATTAATGTTAACGAAAATCCAGAATTTCGTTATAAAATTCATAGTCTAATAGCTTCCTCAAAAGAAAGGGTTTGAGGAAAAGGAGAATAATTAAAAACTAATTTTGACATTCCAATTACTGCCTGTTTTATTAGATAGGTTTAGCAAGCCAAAATGAATTTTAACACACAGGTATCTGTACACACACAGTTTTAACTGTCATGTTACAGCGACACACGTACACCCGGCTGCCCCTGCACCCCTGTCCCTGCCTCTGAAATCCTGGTGGTAGTGGGCTCTGCCCAACAGCACATGTTGTGGCTTGAAGGAGCTGGGAGTCACACGCTTCCCTCCCGCGTTACACGTACTGTCTCATAGCAGTTCACCCGGACCATGTTTTAACCCAGTGCATGACTGAGTGCTAATACTGTATAAATATTTTGAAACATATCTAAAAAAAATGTTTGCTTCAAACTTTTTACAATAGAAAAAATATATAATTATTATGGTTGTCTTACAAATTGTATTGTGTTCTTCATTTTTGTTAAATATGTAGAAAAACATTAAGGGAATGGGGGACTCGAATGTCTGTGTGTACCGAAATGTATATAACTATTTGGGGAAAACACACGTGCCAAGTATAACATGATGTAAAAATTGTAAATATATGAAAAATTCATTTTTCTAATAAAGATAATTTCTGCCAGTTGATATGAAAATGAACAATGGTATCATTCTTGTCTGTCTTCCTTGTTAAATAGTACAAGATGAAGCATCTTACGTGAATAAGGCTTACCTTTGTTTTTTCATTGTTAGTTGATTTGATTTGAAAGGTGTTAACAGCCACATGTTTTGAGCCATCCTTTGCTGTTAGAAATTATCTAAAGGTGAAGATGCCTGAAGCTAAAGCTGACAGTATATGCTTGACATTCCTAGTTTAATTTAATTCACGAAAAGGACGGAGACAATTAACTTATGAAAAATTCATTCCGTGTGAGAAGTCTACTTCGAACGGTGCTCCCTAGCAGGGAGAGCAGTGGGAGCAAAGTGAAGCGTGGCCCGTTAACCTGGGGCACCATTTGCCCGTATTCTGAAATACAGCAGCTGCACGAACGGCGGTGGGCCTGCATGGCGAGTTGACCTTGCTGCAGAAATGCAGGTGCTCTTGGGGCGGTTGTGGAGGCAGCGTCCAGCCCGGGGCGGAGGAGGCGTCCTGCCAGGCACGGTGCCATCCCCGAGGAGAGCCGGGGCCGTGGGGGCTCCTGGCGCGCAGCGCTCCCGGGGCTCGCTCAGGTGAGGATGGGGGCGAGCAAACCAGGGGGGGTGGGAAAATGACAGCACCATCACACGTTTTCTATGATATCAGCAAGCTTGTTTAACATTCTGGTTAAACAAGACTTAAATTGAAATAGAGGTGTACGTGGGGCAAGTGAAATCTTTTCTAAGATTTGACCATCTGCCTGGCCAGAGGATCTAAAGGAGCGAGATTCACATGGCGCTCCTGAGCGCTTCTGTAGTACCCCATTTTCCAGGATGTCTCATCAGCTAATGAAAGTCTTCCTTTATTCCACAAAATGGGCATAAACAAACCCTTGGCAATTAGAATAATGTTCTTTGAGGCAGTGGGATGAGAGTCATTATATAAATCCTAAGCATCGTTTTGATAAATGTGTTTTGTGTTGAATATAAAAATAACAGACAGGAGGTGAAAGGTTGCTCATGGATGTCTCATAGTAGAAATGTCCCATCTATTTGTTCCCAAGGTAAAGATGACTGCACAGATATCATGAGAGAGATAAAATTGGAATTCTGTTCTTAATGAGGTTTTTAATGAGTAAAGACTGCTGGGCTTATTGTCCTCTGCTGGAAAGCTGTTTTAAAAGGACCCTGCTCTATTTTTATCTAAATATCCCCATTTTCTGATCTTGAATCTTTAGGCAATGGACAGGCTAATCTGTTCTGCACAATACCACATGGTGAACTGACTGGCTTGATTCACCTGCAGCGATGTCCACCAAAGGCCCAATTCAAGTCCTTCAGTCACATAAAAGAAACAGGAGTCTCTGTAGGACACGGGTGATGCAGGACACAGCCTGTGTGACTCAATCTGGAAACACCGTTGTGACTCCTCTCTTCTGGCTGCAGAGCTGGGCTGGTGTTTCTATCCAGGCTGCTTCTCCCAGCTCTACCTGCCAGCGTAGCTGATTTCTCTCTGCACATCTGTGAGTCATCTCAGCTTCAGCTTTGATTCCCTTTGGGATCTGGTGCAAAGATAGTCATATTCTCCCAGATCGTTCTTTTGAGTCTTTGCTGATGTGTCTATGGCAACTATCAGTCCTCTAAGACTTTGCTTACTAAAAAAATATAAGATGTAAGTGACAACTGGGAAACAGAAGCATTTTAAGTCTGACATATTGTGCATAGCACTGCCAGCAGCGTTCATAGCAAACTGAGCAATTCACCTGGTATGAACACAAGTGTCTTCCCATAACTTGGATGCAAACTCACCTGATTTAAGGTGAACTGCTGAAGTCTGCTTGTCTCCATATACAGAAACACCATTCATCCTACTTGTCAGGGCGAGTTTTCCTATTGATCACACTAGCCACTTGTCTCTCTGCTTCTTCCAACAAACAGCATTACTTTCCCCTGGCAGATTTGTTGCAGTACAAAAACCAAACCATGGCTTCCACAAATTGCATTATTGATCTAATGTGTGATCTCTGCCATTCCTATTCTTCTCCTAGTTGGTAGTCTACTTCAGCAGGCATCTCCTGATGTACAGCACAGCTTGTAGCTGGGTCATTCTTTCCACTGAAGAAAGGAAGTTCCACGCACTGAAGGTCTCTGCATTGATTTCCATATTTTCTTTTTAGAAGTTCCCCCAAAAGCTTTCTGTGGGGCTAATTTATTGACTTTATTTATTTAGTGTTTTATTTATGTATTTGCCACTGGTTACCTTACACAGAATGATCATTACAGAGGTTGACTGCATTCTGTTCTAATCTGTCTGCTCAAATCTTACGTATTATTAATCTATGTTTATAATGTAAGTGATGATTGTTCCTTAGTGATGGCAATAATGATTCTAATGCACTGAAGTTTCTTAGCATTACAATAGACAACAGGGGACGGTAATATAGAATACAATCATGAATAACACTGTTTACACGAGGTTACTGCAAGGTCAAAGACATTTTCCAGTGATCTCCATGGAGCTCCAGGTGTAATTTCACAGCAATAATCCTTAAAAACCCCTTTGTGCTGCAAAAGCACAAGGTATGGTGGTTTCTTTCTCCCTTTGAAGAGTGGACATTAGCCTGTTAGTTAGGCATGACAGTCTAGTGAGATCGGTAAACCTTTTCAAAGACCACGTTTTCAGCAAGCTGGCTGTCAGGCTGGTAACATTTGATGTGAAGTGCTATGAAAGACACAAAGAACAGAATATCTGAGCCCAGGGCTCCAGAGAGAAAACTCACAGTATTAACCAGGTTTGAAAGTCTAAGACCCTCTTATTATGGAAGTGTGTAGTTCTACTGGTTAACTTTGGGGACTGATGATGTTTGTCATTTCAGAGGCTTGGATATGAGCAGCTCTCTCCTTCCATCCTGCACAGGGAAAAGCATTTCTCTATGCTCAGAGGAAAACAGAGACCTTGGACAGGTTTTACCCCCAGTTTCTGAGATGGTATAGTTTTATCAGTTGAGAGGTTTGCCAAATGAAGAAAATGCTTCTATGTGGTATGACAGTATGATGATGATGATTTTACCCTCCTTTTTCTCAGCAAAAGAAATATAGCAAATTGTGTAATTCTCCTGGTAGCTGAAATGCCTCTGAGTTCTTTGACTGTAGTTATAAAAGAAGAACCATTTGTGTACCTTGTAGAGGATAAAAGTAGTAGGAATGAGGATGACTAGAATAACTTCAATTTTCCTCTAAGAACAAAACTGCTGTTGCATTGATTTGGCCACAGTGAGTGTTTCCCAATATGCGCTTTGAAAACTGCACTGCATATTAATTCCTGTTACCCTTTTTATTTTCTGTGTAAATCTGTGTGAAGAACTTATGTTTAAAAATAGGGGTGGGGTTGATGCTGAGAGTTTTTGCTATGGGAGAAACTTTCAAATAGGACTAAATAGCTCTAAGTGTCCTGCAAAAAATGGCATAGATCTCTTTGAACATGCCTTTCACCTGCAAGAACAGATCACAACGGGTCTTAACCAACCAAGAAAATAATCTAATTTTAATGAAAAATCAAATCTCAGATTGTCACTTCATTTAGATTTTTACCCTAAATAGAAATGCTGGAATGATAATCAGGTCCTGTTTTTGCTCAGCTTTGCTGTTCCTTTCCACAGATGCACTATTACCTTAGCAAATGGGAGCACCCAATGTGACCTTAACTATATTTGTACTTCTGTTTGCTTTCACATATCTCCTCTCTGAACTAAACAGCTCTGATATTACCACCTTCCTTCTTATTTCCTATTCCCTCTGTCTACTCCTAACAGTTTTCTCCATTTCTGGCCCTGATAGAACATCATGAAAGTGTGAACTGCACCTTGAACCAGACCTGCATGGTCAGCACGTTTCCATGTGTTAGTTAAAAGCATTGTAATTGCCGTGTTCTTTTCTATTTCTGTCTCTATAAAAACTAACATTTCGATTATTTCTGCACTGTCACTCTGCAATGAGAAGATGATTTCAGTATTCAGAACATAATGACATGCATAACCCTTTTTTTCAGTTCTTATTTTTGCACTCAAAACATTTGGATAGCTTAAATTATTTCACCTTGTGTGTATTTATTTTCTGGCATTCCTAAACAAAAACATTTTTTGAGTCTGACGGGTCATTTTAGATCTCCTTCAAATCAATCTAGCTTGGAATAGCAAAGAAATGATAGGTCATCTACAGACCAGGGCTAGGGCTAGGAGCTGTGTGTGTTAAGGGATGCCGGATAGATTTACATTCTTCAGTGTCCTGAATGCCCACATGTTGTGGTATTGCATTCCATGTGCTGAGGACTTTCTGAGTTAATGTTCAGCATAAAAAAAAAATCCTGATTATGTAATGTGATGTACTGGGTTAGACCACTAAATGCTTTGAAGTTAGAGAATGAGTTTAGGTTATCAAGAAAGGGATTAAATATTGATGCCTTGAGAAAATGGCACACATCTTCAATTCTGCAGTCTAAAAAAAATCAGAAGTTTACTTCTTTGGGGAGCTGTATGCAGGTAACAGAACTGGTCTTATAGGGAGAAATTGAGTCAATGGTGAAAGTATCCCTATTTGATCGTTGTAGTTTAACATATTTCTCAGAGTAGTGGGTGGTTAGATTGAGGTATATATGAACCAGAATTGCCAGCTCATTGCTTACATCAGTGTATTCCCCAGCTGGTTCTCCATACTTCTGTGGAAACATTTCTTCTTCCTGAGGCTGTGAGGGAAAGTAGGATGCGAGGTTATCTGCAGTGTGATGTTTGTACCCTCTTGCTGTCTGTGGGCTACTGCTTCAGACTGTAAAGCTGTACCATATTTTCCTCAACGCTGTAACAAAAAAAATCCCACTATTTTAGATAGGAAGTTGAGATGTAGTTATTTACACATGGGCAACCTACAATGAATTAAATACAGATTAACTCAGAATGAACTGCACTCTATTAGCCCAGTGAGCATGCAGAGTAACTCTGGCTCAGCAGCCCGTGCATGAACGACTGCGC